AAGTTCCCCAATTTCAGCAGAGTAAAACATTCCCCTTTATTTTAAGTTTGCAACGGCAGCGTTTGCTCAGGCTCGCGAAAGCCTCTATAATAACTATTCTGGTAATTTCCCCTTATTCCCTCATAAAATAAAAGAGACGACACAGTCTTTTACAAAAGTATAAAAAGAGTTTACTCACATTCTGTTCACAATCAGATCCCAGAAGGCAGACTTAAGCTTAATGAAGTACCATACACTTGGAATCTATCTTATAAGAAGACAGTCCCTTTGTCCTCTCTTGGCTGGGAGCCAAGAGTGCATCTTTCACTCAGGAGATGTTGCTTCTTCGATGCATGTGGTGAAAGAGAGAGAGATGGCTGCCCTGCCCTGTGCTTTTGTCAGTACCTGCACAGGTGACGCCACACCCACCTCTAGTCACATGTAGAGGAAGTCTGTCCCAGCCTAGAGGGAAACAGGAAGTTTACCTGCTGGCTGGACAAACATCCCTCCCCATGTCTAAACATGTTCACTCTAGGAATGTTGTACTTGACTGCTCTTGTGTTTCACATCCCACAGAGACGAGGGGCCGAAGATGGAGGGTGGCAACTCAGGTAGGAAGGTGTAGGAGGCCGGCGGCTCTGCAAGGAAAACATGCGTGTCTGAAGCCAGGGGTGTATTTGCTCAAAACGTGATGAAGGGACAGGCTACCCAAGCCTGAACACAGAATTACCTAAAACAGGCCCCAGGCCCAATAAGCCCCCAAATTCTTTAGAAATTCTTTCCTCAAGAGTCTATTAGCTGAAGTGCGTTAACCGGATAACAGGAACCAGGCTGTACAAACATAGCCGTCCCCCTTATCAATCCATGGAGGCTTAATGATGTATGGCCTTGTCAATTTCGGGTGAAAGGAGAATGGAAGATCCAGGCCTTATCTTATAGGCTGTAAACATCCTGACCACAAGCCTTGCCTGACAGGCCTGTCAATCAGCCTGCACCCCTGGAGATGGCGCCGGGGCACCCCACAGTAACCTTCTCCTTGACCCAAGATTAGCACACAGGAACTGTTCCTGTTCCTGCTCAAGGATCTGTTCCTGCTCAAGGATGCTCAAGGATGTCAACTTACGAGTATGAGCTCATGAGGTTTGGATTCCTGGGAAGGGGGAGGGAGGTGTCTGGAGGTGATATATACTGAATGAAATTCCTGTTTCTTTTGTGCTTGCTCTGGCTGACCACACAGTGGCTTTTCTGCTATTCCGGAAAGCAGAGAATAAAAACCTCATTCTCTTTACCAACCCCGGTGTCGTTTTGGCTCTTTCCTCCCTCCCCCTGGGAGCAACGCAGACCCCGATCGAAACGGAAAAGGCTACAGTGAAATATTGTCAAACGGAGCAAGCGGACACGTAACATTTAGCGTGCTCTATGTAATAGCGAGGAGGAGGGGGAGACGAACCATTGAGACTTGCACTAGACTAAGAGGGACATCCAACTCTCAGTAGACTGCGATCTACTCACAGTGTATGAAAACTGGCAGGGATCGATCGGTTGTCGTTGGGTGGGCCAAAGTTGTGGAGGTTTTTTTCCAGAAGCAAATGAATAAATGGAACGGAATATATGAATGAATGTGTAATGAGTATGAGTTACTCGTGCGTAAACTGGTGCCTCTCTAGGCTAATTTGCCTTGTTAAACCTTTCTGACTGCACAGCCCTTTCTCATGGTGACTGCCTCAGTCGCTGGCAGAATCCGTCAGTGGGCGTTTCTTGTACCTCTTCCAACATAAAAGTTGTTTGACACCCAGTCTCCTCCTCCTCTCACTGCGCGGGAGTCTTCTGCGCAGGGAGGGCGTGGGTAGCGGAGGACCTGTCCCCTCCTCACTGAGGTCCAGTGAAGAGTCCTGGAGCCCTCTCTCCGATTCCCCCATCTGCCCCCCTTTATCCCTGGTGTTGCGCTTAAATGCTTCCCCCTCTGCTGAGCTGTTTCTCCCCCTGCTGCTGGGTCCTTCGCCAGCATCATCCAGGAGCCTCCCCTTTGCCTCTCGCTCCGATGTCAGTTCCCTGACAGAATGAAACATGAATGAATGAAACAGAATATATGAATAAATGAAATGGAATATATGAATGAATGGAACTGAAAGAGCATTGTGATATGCACAGAACATAATCAAAAGCTGATTATATAAAACACAGTAGAGGGTCCTGAATCCCCAGTCCGACAGTGGAACTTAATCGGATGGCCCACTTTTTTGCAAGGAAGCAAAAGTCGCTGAGCTTTCTTGGGAAAGGCAAAATTGTTGAGCTTCTTAGGAAGGCAAGGTTGTTCAGCTTTTCTTAGGAAGCCAGAGGCCAGAGCGATTGAGCTTTTTTTTAGGAAGCAGTAGTGGAGCTGTAGCCTTATTGGAGTTCACCGATTGGGTCTGCGTTGCTCCGGGACAGGAGGAAGGAAGTCAAATGACACCAAGGTTGGTTCAAAGAGTTTATTCTGCTCTCTGGATAGCAGAAGGCACTTGCGTGGTGAGTCCACAGCAAGTCCAAAGAAATCAGAGATTACATGCAGTATATATATCCTCCAGGCACCCTCTCCCTCCTTCCCCAGGAATCCAACGACGTCAGCCTATGTACGTAGGTTGACATCACATATGTTCTTGCTCTGGTATTCTTAACCATAAAAGGGTATTCTTTCCTGTACTTCTGACCATAAAAGGATCTTCTTCTTCCTACTCTTATCTTGGAGGAAGAGGTCGTCATCTCCGAGAACACGCTCTGGCGTTCTTCCCGGACTTAGGTCTGTGCGTCTTTTGTGGTCAGGACATAAGATAAGGCACAGACGTGTCTTCTCTTGTCTACTGGTACAGTCAGGGTCATCCCTTGCCGTGACTGATAAAGGAGAAAGTTTGTTTATACAGCTGTGTCCTTGTTATGCATTTGCTCAACAGCTCAAGTTTTATGCATTTTAGAGTGCTCTCTTGGAGAAACAAGAAAAGGGGGGGGGGTTGAGTCAGTTTTAAACTGACTGCACAGAAACCCATTCCTTCAGAGCTTTTAAAAAAAACAACGGGGGGGGGGGAGGAGACCAGAGATTGGCCAGGAACACCCCGTGATCTACCTGTTGGATGTGCCTGATGTAACATTGAGCGTGCGCTACATAATAGCTATGGGGCGGGGAGAGACGAACGATTAAGACTTGCGCAAGAGGGATTAGTCGTACGACAATCAGCCTAAAGCATTAACCTGGAGGGAAGCCCTCCAGGAGAATCATGCTTCCAAATCATGTGCATTTGACATCAAATGTAGCAGCCAAGCAACCCACTCACCTGTGGCTGTTGGTAGAGAGAGATGCCTCCACCAAGTGCCTGGGTCAAACTCCTTTTTCTGCTAAGGTAGCCCCTAAGTCCTTCTCCAGGGAGACAAATGCGCAAGACATCTCCGAAATGTCTCTTTTTTGAGAGGTGACAGAGGGTGTGTCCATCCTGCTCAGAGGGGTAGAGGATGTGCTCCTTATGCACAGGGGCAAGGAGGGGAGACAATTGAGGCATTCATTCCACATTGTTTTAAGTTTCCCTCGGGGGGACCAAAAGTGACTCTTTGTCCCCTAAGCAACTGTGCACACAATGAAACCAACTTTTCAGGGGAACTTCCACCGCTCTCTTCCTCAGTCAGTGGTCACAACACCTGAGAAATCCATTTTTTCCCCTTGGTATTAGTAGAACCACAAGCTTCAGAAGTGCCAACTTAGCACAGTTCCAAAGGCATCAGACATGGGAAATAAAGACTTAACTAATATACCCTGTATATTTGCTAATTGATTTTCAAATTGAGCCTTGTGGGCTGGATTTAGAAGGTGATTGGGCTGGATCTGGCCCCGGGGCCTTAGTTTGCCTACCCATGATCTAAAGCCCTGAGACTGTTGGCTGCTGGCAAGAAGATATGCAGAGGCAAGTCAGTAAGAAGTCAAACCATCTTTGTGTTTAATTACTCATTCTGATGAAACAAAAGCCAATTATATACCACCTGCTACGCTTCCTATAGAGACGGGGGTGGCGCTGTGGTCTAACCCCTGAGCCTCTTGGGCTTGCCGATCGGAAGGTTGGTGGTTCGAATCCCGGCGACGGGCTGAGCTCCCTTCGCTCTGCCCCAGCTCCTGCCAACCTAGCAGTTCGAAAGCGTGCCAGTGTGAGTAGATAAATAGGCACCACTGAGGCGGGAAGGTAAACGGCATTCCGTGCACTCTGGTTTCTGTCGTGCGCCAGAAACCTGCTGGGTTTAGTCCTGCTGGCCGCACGACCCGGAAAGCTGTCTGCGGACAGACACCGGCTCCCTCGGCCTGAAAGTGAGAGGAACGCCGCAATCCCATAGCCGCCTTGGACTGGACTTATGTGAAAACTATTAAGAAACTACGCTGATTTTGTTCACCAACTAGAATTGCTGAGAAAATAAATATCAACAGATGCAAAAATCAACGGTGTTATACACGTTTGACCACATTTAGTCATGGGGCATTCCTGAAAGCTCATCTGTAACAGCAGATAAATGTACCATTGTCCAAAGGCTCTGGCAACCATTCTTCCAGTGAGGAAAACCTTTGAGCGAGACCCGGGAAGGGAAGAAGGGTGGATCAACAGGCGAGCAGATCAACTTTTGCGCAGGTTCTCTTACCTTCTTTGCTCTTGGGAGCAGCTGTAGCCAGTTTTCTCTCCAAGGAGGGGTGCAGAACGGCCGCCGAGCCAGGATCCTGACCCTCGGGATCCTCCACCCTCTCCTTTGGTAGACACGCTAGGTCACTTTGCTTTTTGGCAACGTTAATGATGTTCGGGGTGATGGACGGACGCTGGATTGGCGCTGGCTTGGAGACCAAAACAGGAGATGGTGGCCACTGTCTTTTGGGTGAACTTGGATGAGACTTTTGTCTGATGAGAAAAAGGGATCAATCAGAGAACTGGACTGCACAGAAACATGTACAGCCACCGTATTTTCCTGTGTATAAGACGACCCCTATTTTTGGAGCCCAAAATGAAGAAATAAATAGAGACTTCCGGGTCAGCGCCATCGGTGAATGGCGGAGTTCCTCCGACTGGAGGAACGGTCTCCGTGGAAGCAGGGGCTTCCCGCCGCGGCGAAGGCGGGGGCCCATTAGAAATCCCAGGCGGGAGAAGCCTGGGAACGTGGGGTTCGGCAGAGCACCAAAGCGCCTCCCCTACTCACGAGGAAACCCTTTTTCGGGGCTCCGGAGTGAAGCGGGTGGAGCAGCGCGGTGCTGCGAACTGATTGCTACTTCCATGGAGGGAAGCCGCGCAGCCATCGCCGGAGAGCGCTGACTTTTCCTGATGACATTTGGACTCTAAATCAAGTACCCGTGAGTAAAAACGGAGAATTGGACTAAGAAATCTTTAAAATTATGAAATTAGGCACGAAGCGGGAATGGTGTAAACAGGAAGTCCGCCTCCCGTCCTTGTATACAGCTTAAAGCAAAGATCTTGTAACCTAACAGCCTGAAAAGTTCTTTTAAAGTTGGAAATTTCCTGCACCCATAACCAACAAAACCCCCTTGGAAGCAGGAGAGGGGGGGGGATTTGACAGCTTAATCCTGCAGGAAGTAAGAAAAGGAACGTAAGTTTCCACCGTCCCAAACCTGGGGACGGGGTGTCGGGACAGAAATTGTTTGAGACGTCCATTGATTGAAAGTGGAGCACTTTTGACAGATAGTTAAAAAGGAAAAAAGAAACAAATTAACTTCAACGCTACCTTCTGCATTTTTGCTGTTTAAGGAAACAAAGTATTTGAAATTGAAAGGACTTGAAACTGAAAGTAGCTTTCTTTGTTGGATACTTTAAAAAAAAAATGGCTACAATCAGAAATTGTGTCCTCTAGAGGAGCCTGCCAGTTTGCGGTTGCAGTTTGCATATGTGAGATTTGGATCGTGGGAACAGCTGTTTGACCTTGTTCTGGAATAGAAATGTTTTGGCAGGAAAGTTTGGTGTCTGCCCTTGGTAGGACTAATGTTTTGCTGGAGCAGCTGCACGAGAAAGTGAGTCTGATGAATGAAAAACTGGATTTTATGAGTGCTGTGGCCAACCAACATGATTCAACAGGGAATAAGAATGAACCTGGTTTGATAAGGCAAGTCCAAGGGCAGATGGAGGAGGAAGAGGCAGTAGCTATTTCTTATACAACACAAATGGAAAGACCCAAAGTTTTGCAGGAAAAAGAGCTACTGCGTTGGAAGATTGATTTTGGAGAGTGCTGGGAAGCATTTGAAGTTAAGGAAGTCTTTAACTCTAGTGTGACTGTGAAACAGGTGAATAACCATCTTTTGGATACATATTTTTTGGATTATAAAGAAGAAGATTGGGAGTGGGACTCGGGGGAAGGGGACAATATAATGAAGGAAAGTGGAAATTATTACTGGATGGAACCCTCCGGAGACCCACTCCCTCAGAGACCAACAATAGACAAAGAACTGTGTAAGCACAAACAAGAACAAAAAAAATTGCAGAAGGGGCCTAGAAGAGATTTAAGGGCCTCGGATATTAGAACACCAGATTGATGGACTATGTAACGGACAGAAAGGACTGACATGACTGAAACCAGGAAGATGGGACGCTGGATGAAAATTATAGAAATTTTTATGTTAATTTTGGAATTAGATTATTATTAATGAAATTTGTCTAATATTAATGAAATTTGAGGGAATATGCTGGAAAGGAATCAAATTGGCTTTAGTAGAAATGATTTTAAGGAGAAATGTAGGAATGTGATGTGATTTTGAAATTTTAAGATTTTTAAGATAAGATAAGGTTAAAGAATAAGGCAAATTGAATAACAGATTATATTAAAAGAGGGAAAGGCCATGTTGATTAACAAATAAGATAGATTGTGAAGATTAATTATTTAAATTAAAATTGAGAAATATGGGAAGAATTTGCTGAAATAACGAATTAAATTAGAATACAAAGAGGGAGGCGCGAGGAGGTTCAAGAACCAAGTAAATGAAAAGTTGAAATTTGAGATTTATAATTTCTTTTTTCCTTTTCTTTCTTATTCTATTATCTATTCTTTTTTCTTTTTTGGGCTAGGGTTGGGGACTTTTTATGTATTGATGAAACTTTGAATAAATATCATTAAAAAAAAAAAATGAAGAAAGAAATAATGGCAACATTCCATGTACAAGACAACCCCCAATTTTAAACTTAAGAAATTTGGGGGGAAATATAGTCTTATACAGTGGTACCTCTGGATGCGAATGGGATCCGTTCCAGAGCCCCGTTCGCATCCTGAAGTGAACGCAACCCACGTCTGCGCGTCGCAATTTGCCGCTTCCACGCATGACGTCATTTTGAGCGTCTGCACATGCGCAAGCGGCGAAACCCGGAAGTAACATGCTCTGTTACTTCCGGGTTGCCGCGGAGCGCAACCCGAAAACGCTCAACCTGAAGCACATTTAACCGGAGGTATGACTGTACATGGAAAAATACAGTATATTCTGGGGCAGGCAACTCCTTAGCTCCTAAGTCTTGAGAAAATATGGGAAGTTCTGACTCCGGGGTTAAGGCTGCATTTAAATAGGTCAAGGTCTACTACCCCTTACAGCACTTTTTTACAACAGTGAAATACGAGGAAATTTGCTCAGAAATCTTTACTCATGGAAATTATAAGGATCAACAGAGCTTAGAAAATTATTGTATATTTCAATAGCCTTAAGAACTACTGGGCCGTGTCCAGAAAGTGGTGTGGGGGGACCCCTGGGCTCTCACTTGTGGGGTGCCTCTTCCCCCATACTTTTTAACATCTATATGAAGCCGCTGAGAGAGATCATCAGAAGGGTTGGGCTGGGGGTTCATCAATACGCGGATGATACCCAACTCTACCTCTCTTTTAATTCAGAACCAGTGAAGGCGGTGAAGGTCCTGTGTGATTCTGGATTAATTGCAGTTTCTGGGTCACCTTCAAAGGTAGCCCCACATAGATCGCGTTGCAGTAGTCCAAGCAGGAGATTATCAGAGCATGCTCTGGTGAGACAGTCTGCAGGCAGCTCAAACGCAATTGTCCCTTTCTGGACAAAGAGGAGACCAACCAAGGGTGGCAGGGAGCACCAAGCTGGTTTTACTCTAGAGTAAGAGTTTTGAAGAGGAGCTGAATAGAAACCTGATTGCCGTTGGAGACGGAGTGCGTTTAACCACACTGGCAGGAGAGGGAGACCGCCTGGGACCGGGCAAAGATGGCGACGGAGCACGTCTCCCAGTAGATGAGGGCTGCTTTGTGGGCTCTGATTTCTGCAGGAAGAACAGACACATACTGGTAAGCTGCCTCTTTCTAAAAGGCATGCAGGACATAAGGAAATGAGAAAAGCAACAAGCAATTTGTATTGTAACATTACCCAATAATGATAATGATAATGATAACATACCTAGAAAGCTTATACTTAGTTGGTCTTTAAGGTGCTACTGGAATTATTTTTTAAAAAATTGGGGGGGAAGATGTTGGGATTCAAGCCTTTATCAGGAGAAACTGGCCACTCTCCAGGCACCCGGCTTGATCTCCTGTTGACCTCCCTGTCTGCATTCCCCAGCAGGATACAGGCTAGGTCGCGATAGGCGATCCTCCTCAGCGTGAGAAGAACACGCCCCTCTTTCCTGCCCCCTGGGCAGGGAGAGAGATAGACAGAAACGTATTTACATTCCTTTATTTCTGTCTTTGCAGCGTTACAAAAATCATGTCTGCTCTCTTCAAGCTTCAGCAGTCGAGAGACAAACTCCTCCTGTACTTCCTGTACAGCTCATATTACACTCTGAGCTAATTCCGGTGCCCTCTGCACTGTGAATTGACTGTCCCTCTGTTTCCCACGGAACAGTCCCAACATTCCCATTATGTTTTGCTTTCAAGCTACCAGCTCGCGGCCGCATTGCTTCTATATCGTAACATACTCCCCCATATGAATCAATGTGCGCTGCGAGCAAAGCGTGATCCAGAGAAGAAAACAAACAGTTGTTATACATATAACACTCGCCTGTTGTTTCAGTTCCACCCTTGGAACTACCCGCCACTGGTTTCCCCAGTGTACCTCTCTGGTTGTCTGTCTTCCAAGGAATGAGTGCATCTGCATTACCTTGGCTAGGGAATGTAGTGTTACGCTTAGCAACTCTCTGTTGTGTCTTTGTCTCTGACTTAGACACAGCTTCAACCTGTCTTGAGTTGTCAACAATAGTAACACATGCTACAGCTGAGTTAGCAAACTCTTTTGAATACCTCTTGGGTGGTACACCCTTTGTAACTCTCTCGGACCTGCGTATGAGGTGCTGATCCTCTCTGCTCACTGGTTCAGTCTCAGGACTCTTTGGAGAACCAGTTCCAATAGTAAACAGTGGTTCATCCTTCACCTGTGAAGGTCTTTCCATTGTGTGAGATTTCCTCTCAATGACTGTGTCAACTGAGCTCTTTGAGCTAGTACTGTCACTCTCAGTACCACTGTAATCAGTAAAATCATCATCATCATCTGAACTGTCCTCAGTGGGAAATGTGTGAACAATTACTCTCTCCTGTTCAGGAGCACTCTCTAGAAATTTTGTGAGAATCACTTGACCAGATTCAGACAAAATTACTCTGTAGAGACCCTTTTCATAACCCACAAAAATGCCTCTAGCATTCTTTACTCCACCTGGAGCTTCAGTCTTCACATGAGACCCAAAAACCTTAAAATGGGCAACAGAAGGTTTTCTGTGGAATAGCTTCTCAAAAGGAGAACATCCTAAACCTTTTGAAACTTTTCTCACCCAACTGTAACAATAACACAATATCGACTCCGCCCAATACTCATGTGGCAAATGTGAACTCAGCAGTTGCGCCTTCATGCCATTTTGCAATTCTTTGTTCACTTGCACACAGACACTTCTGTTCCATGCTTCTGCAGAAACAGCAGTCTTGTGCCTTATGCCTCGCTTATCCAGGAAATCCTGAAAATCCTGTAAAAGAAAAACTGGCTTTTCATCTGTGAAAAGACAATCAATGTTAGCATTATGAACATCCTTAACCTTGTCACAAAACTCTTTAAACCTTTCTAAGGCTTCTTGTGGTTTCTGCAATATATATACCCACACATAATGAGAGAAATAATCCACACACACAAGATAATATCTTGCATTGCCTCTAGACGGTGCTAGAGGACCAATCACATCAGCATACACTCGCTGAAAAGCTTTGGTTACTTGCGTCGTCTTCTGGACGTTTTCGACACACCTGCGAGAGAAATCATGTTAGACTCAGATGCATTACAACTTATGCAATCACTTTGATCAAAAGTCAACAAATACAGTCCATCTTTCTCTCTGGCAGAAAGATACAGCTCTCCATCTTTGAAGATTTTGCAGCTTTCTCTATCATAGGACAAAGTCAGTCCTTTCTTTGTGATCTGCGAAACACTCAGCAGATTGAACTTTAAATCAGGAACCAAATACACATTGTTTATAGTCAAGTTCAGACTCTCAAGATACACAGTTCCAAACCCGGTCGCTTCCAGCTCCTGACCGTTGGCTTGTTTCACAGTGAAGCTTTGCTTCTTAAACGTTGAAAACAGATTTCGCCGAGACGTCATGTGTTGCGTCGCTCCAGTGTCCAAAATAAAAGTGTTCTCCATTGAAAATGCGGCTTTTGTTGACAGCAATGCCTTTGCCGGTTTCACCTGGGACTTGGTACGACTTTTGCCTGATGCCTCAGGCTTTGCAGAGCTCCCTTAGCTCCTTTCTGTTGACGTGGCTTCTTACAATTCCGCTGAAGATGCCCAGTCTGTCCACAATTGAAACAACGGACAACGTTCAAAGCAACAGCCTGTTCTTCACTAGCAATAGCAGCGGGGTGTGTCAGAACTTCGAGCTTCTCTCCCCCGTCTTTGACATCTATTGCAGCAAGTCTGTCTTTCTCATTGAGAATCACGGCACAAATTCTCTCCGTCGAAAGATCTGCGGCAGGTAGAGAACCAAGCTGACTTGCAACCGTTTTATAAGTCCGATTAAGGCTGTTAATAATCATGAAGCAGAATATCTCTTCCTGTAGAGGGAAATTGCGTTCCGCCATCTGCTGGCGTAAGAATTTCATCTCTGTCAGATGCGCTTGTACATCTCCATCAGGCGCTAGCCTCAGATTGGTTAGCTTTTCAAAATGCAGCAACGCTGAAGAACCAGCATCTCTTTGATGTATTCTACGCAGCGTTTGCCAAATCTCACGCGCGTATTCCAAATCCTGAATATGCACGAGTTGATCATCTGAGATACACAGAATTATGGCCGTCCTGGCTCTCACATTCTGTGAATTCCAACCTGGCGTTGGTGCAGCAGGGATGGGGTTATCAATCACCCCAAAATCCTCTGATTCTGAAGCAGGGCTTTCATCTTTACAGACCATGAGGAATAATTGTCATTAGTCAGTGGAGGTGGGTAAGGTAAGCCTCCCCCCTTCTTGGTATCCATTTTGAATCCAAGTGTCAGCTCTCACTCTCGAGCCTGTAAACTCCAAAAGTCTATTGGCTGTTTACTGCCTCACACTTGGCAGCTAAACACAGGCTGTTTTGAAAGTCCCTCCAAGAGCAGTGAGATACACAGACAAAACAAACGCTGTTTTATCAGTGTTTTTCCAGCCTCTCACAGTGCTCAGCCTTACTTCCGTTGTTGGCCAGTAACTTTCCACTATACTGACGTTTCGTTGCTTAGCAACTGGACATTCCAGGCTTATCAAGACTCAGGTATGCGAAATATGTGGCTCTCTTTCAGTGCTGGTTTCATCCAAAAGCAGACACTCAGTGAACCGAAGAATGCTTCAATTCGCGTTCACTCTCACAGCCATAAAATCACCATACCTTGAGGGAATCCGTTGCTCAGCAAAAACACCTCTTTCGGTGCTCAGTCGTCCTTGTAGCTTCCATCCGCCCGCTACCACATTCTTTCTTTATCTCCTTGCAGAGGATGAAGTACGATCCATCAACCTCTCTTGTTGCTTTCATGGATCAAAACCATCGGCTCCTTGCTACCAGATGTTGGGATTCAAGCCTTTATCAGGAGAAACTGGCCACTCTCCAGGCACCCGGCTTGATCTCCTGTTGACCTCCCTGTCTGCATTCCCCAGCAGGATACAGGCTAGGTCGCGATAGGCGATCCTCCTCAGCGTGAGGAGAACACGCTGGGCAGGGGAGAGAGATAGACAGAAACGTATTTACATTCCTTTATTTCTGTCTTTGCAGCGTTACAAAAATCATGTCTGCTCTCTTCAAGCTTCAGCAGTCGAGAGACAAACTCCTCCTGTACTTCCTGTACAGCTCATATTACACTCTGAGCTAATTCCGGTGCCCTCTGCACTGTGAATTGACTGTCCCTCTGTTTCCCACGGAACAGTCCCAACATTCCCATTATGTTTTGCTTTCAAGCTATCAGCTCGCGGCCGCATTGCTTCTATATCGTAACAGAAGATTCTTTTCAAGCAGGCTTCCTCAACCTCAGCCCTCCCGATATTTTGGGCCTACAACTCCCATGATCCCTAGCTAGCAGGACCAGTGGTCAGGGATGATGGGAATTGTCGTCTCAAAACATCTGGCGGGCCAAGGTTGAGGAAGCCTGTTTTAAAGACTGTCTTAAGACAAAAATACTTAATTCTTTTAAGGGAGTTCTTTTTGGGTCATCTTTTAATAAAATAAATATAAATAAAACTTTCCTCTTTTTATTAATAATAACAATAATTTATTATGTATACCCCACCCATCTAGCTGGGCTTCCCCAGCCACTCTGGGCCACTTCCAGCAGAATATTAAAATACAATGACAATTCGGACAATTCTGCAACTGAATAGAGGACGTGTGAAGCTGCTTTAGGTGTTCCGAGCTCTGGCCAAAGGGCCTACCTGATCTCCCGAACACAGGCTTCCTCAACCTCGACCCTACAGTTATTTTTGGCCTACAACTACCATGATCCCTAGCTAGCAGGAGCAGTGGTCGGAGATGATGGGAATTGTAGTCTCAAAACATCTGGAGGGCTGAGGTTGAGGAAGCCTGCCCAAACACATGGAACAGAAGGATTTCTAAGTTCAATTCATAGATGATGATAGTATTGGACTTCAAATACGCTACCTGAAAGACACACTGCTCTTAGGAGCCTCCCAAAGTGGCTGGGGAAACCCAGCCAGATGGGTGGGGTATAAATAATACATCATCATCATTATTATTATTAAAAAGTATTATTAATATTATTATCATTATTACAGTGGTAGCTCTACTTACGCGCACCTCTGGTTACGTATCCTTCGGGATACGCACGTGGCAAACGTGGAAGTATTTTCCTGGGTTTCGCAGTGTGCGCCTGCGCAAAAGTGCTCTACCACATTGTGCACCTGTGCAGAACAGACACCTTCAGTTGCAAAAACTTTGGGATCTGACCAGAGCTCCGGAATGGATCCCTGTCCGCAACCAAAGGTACCACTGTATTATTACAGTGATACCTCGGGTTAAGAACTTAATTCGTTCTGGAGGTCTGTTCTTAACCTGAAACTGTTCTTAACCTGAAGCACCACTTTAGCTAATGGGGCCTCCTGCTGCCGCTGCGCCGCCGCTGCACAATTTCTGTTCTCATCCTGAAGCAAAGTTCTTAACCCGAGGTAATATTTCTGGGTTAGCAGAGTCTGTAACCTGAAGCGTATGTAACCTGAAGCGTATGTAACCTGAAGCGTATGTAACCCGAGGTACCACTGTATTATTATTATTATTATTATTATTATTATTATTATTATTAAAGGATCTCCCTCCAGCCCTGTAAGAACTTTCTTGTTAAGTATATTAGCTCTTCAGTTTGAACAGATATTAGTAATTGAAAAAGACTGAGTAAACCAACAGAAAAATATAAGATTCAGGTAGGTAGCTGTGTTGGTCTGATGCAGTCGAATAAAATAAATAAAATAAATTAAAAAATGGTCCAGTGGCACCTTAGAGACCAACTCAGTTTGTTCTGGGTATAAGCTTTTGTGTGCAGGCACACTTCTTCAGATACGTAAATTAAAAAATTAAAAAGTGGTCCAGTAGCACCTTAGGGACCAGCGAAATTTGTTCTGGGTCGAAGCTTTCGTGTGCATGCGCCTTTATTCAGATACCCGGAAACAGAAGTCCGTATAAGAACTAGTATGACAAGAGGCCTCCCAGCATTCTCACAGGCCCATATAACAACAGCATAAACAGTTGGGCCTGATGAGAGTTTACTGTTCCCAACCCTAATCCTGAGAAAGCCATCTAATTATCTTTTAATCTTAATTATCTTTGAATCTTGTTTTCAGGAGGTAATTTCATATTTGGTGTTAGCAGCCCTGAGCCCGGTTTCGGCCAGGGAGGGTGGGATACAAATAAAAGTTTATTATTGTTTATTATTATTATTACCAGACCCTGATATATAGTGGGAGGGTGGGGCGGGGTTTTTCTACGAAGGGTAGTAGAACTCCATGGGTTTGGTCAACCTGTGGGCGACTGTGAACAACTGCAATTTAGTCCTGCAGGAAAAAGCAAGGGAGAGTATGCAGGTGACCAAAAATAGCCGAAATAAATAAAAAAAAATGTCCAGTAGCACCTTAGAGACCAACAAAGTTTGTTCTGGGTCTAAGCTTTTGTGTGCAGGTGCTCTTCTTCAGGTACACGGAAACAGAAGTCACCAGACCCTTATATATAGTGGGAGGGTGGGGTGGGGTATTTCTCAGAAGGGTAGTAGGAGATGTGTGATTTTATGGTTCTCAAAAGGAAACCTTCCTCTGCTTGTCCATATTGAGAGGATGCCAGCAAGGCTGAACCTTTCGGTAAAAAAGGATTACAGACCTGTACCTCCATGATTGACATCTTCTTAATCCTTGTATTGAATAATAATAACACTTGGCTGTCGTGCGCAGGCAGACTTCTTCAGATACACTGAAACAGAAGTCCCCAGACCCTGATATACAGTGGGAGGAGAAGTCACCAGACCTTTATATATAGTGGGAGGGTGGGGTGGGGTTTTTCTCCGAAGGGTAGTAGGACTCAATGGGTATGGTCAACCTGTTGGTGACTGTTAATGACTGCAATTAGTCCGACAGTAAAAAGCAAGGGATAGTATGCAGATGACCAAAAAGAGCTTTAGCATATGCCAGTGATGGCCAAACTCGGCCCTCCAGATGTTTGGGGACTACAAGTCCCATCATCCCTGACCACTGGTCCTTGTCAGCTAGGAATCATGGGAGTTGTAGTCCCAAAACAGCTGGAGGGCCAAGTTTGGCCATCACTGGCATATGCAATGAGACCAGAATCCAATATTTCTATTCAGACCAGGTCTCTCCATCGTTTTCAGTTGAGTAACAAATTGCAATTCAGCCACTTCTCTTTCAAGTCGCTTTCTGAAAATCTTTCGTAAGAAGACAGCTGCTTTCAGTGTATCTGAAGAAGTCTGCCTGCACACGACAGCCAAGTGTTATTATTATTGAATACAAGTATTAAGAAGATGTAATCCTCTCAATATGGACAAGCAGAGGAAGGTTTCTGTTTTGGAAGCATAAAATCACCCATCTCCTACTACCCTTCCGAGAGAAAACCCCACCCCACCCCTCCCTCCCACTATATAGAAGGGTCTAGGGACTTCTGTTTCTGTCTATCTGAAGAAGTCTGCCTGCACACGGAAGCTTAGACCCAAAACAAACTGAGTTGGTCTCTAAGGCGCTGCTGGACAATTTATTACAAAAATAGAAATCAAGGTTCAGAAACAGGCCTGTACCATTAATAGTATCTGGAACATCATCCTTAAAACTGCTGTGAGAGAAGTGCTGTTATCGTCCTATCAAAACTATCAAGAGATCCATCAGCTTTGAGGAAGCCATTGGTATTTTTATTAAACCAACAACCTGCCCGGAACCCAAATGCAGCCGACCCACCTGTGCCATTTCTGGCGAGATGTTTCCTGGCAGAGAGGCGGCCGCCTTCAGTCGGTCCGTGCTGCAGCGGCACATGGGAACTTTGGGCATGTGGGCCGGGGAACTGACAGCGCTGCTGGGAGCTGAACAGGGATAGAGGGGAGATTCTGTAAAGTTGGGAATTTGGCAGGGCAAACAGATCACTGAGGGAGAAAGCAGGTGGGGAAAGAAGACAGAGAGAGAAGGAAAGGAGAGACTCTAAACCAGGGGTCAGCAAACTTTTTCAGCAGGGGGCTGGTCCACTGTCCCTCAGACCTTGTGGGGGGCCGGACTAGATTTTGAAGGGGGCGGGGGAAGAACAAATTCCTATACCCCACAAATCACCCAGAGGTGCATTTTAAATAAAAGGGCACATTCTACTCATGTCAAAACACGCTGATTCCTGGACCGTCCAAGGGCCGGATTGAGAAGGAGATGGGTCCGGATCTGGCCCACAGACCTTAGTTTGCCTACTCATGTTTTGTACTGTGCAATTTCCTCGGGAGGCTGGCGTGCGGAAGTGGAAGCACACATCATAATAAAATAAATGTAAGAAAAGTCAACAGTGGATGCATGATGTGCAGGACTTTAAGAAAACAACAGAGCAGCTGTGTTTGAAATGCAATGTAGTGGGGGGATAGGGGTATGAGGGAAGGCATTCCAGCTTCTTATAGAATCAAATAGAATCCGGGCAAAATTGACTGCCGTGTAGGTATGTGATTTGTACCTCCTTGGCAGACAGGCCCAATATGGTTCCCACAAGGGATCTCCACCAGTGTCCCAGAAAGAACACAATTTTTCAAATTTCCAGCAGCAGGTCTAGCTGCAGTACAGTGGTACCTTGGTTCTTAAACGCCAAAAGCCCGGAAGGAAGCGTTCCGGTTTCTGGACGTTTTTCGGAAGCTGGACGTCCGACGCAGCTGTCGGCGATTGTTTCCGGGGCGCCTGCACCAATCAGAAGCCGCGCCTTGGCTTTTGAACATTTCAGAAGTCCAACGGAATTCCGGAACAGATGAAGTTTGGTGCTTTGATTTTTGCTCTATTTGGCGGTTTGTTTTTTTTAAGGTTTTTTCGGTTCATTTGTTTTTGTGACTGTGCAGAACCCAGTTCAGTTCCTGTTGGATTGATTGTGTGACTGCGGAAATGGATCAAAGCCCCGCATCCAAACAATGACTTTAGCTACTGATAGATGGATGGATTGTGTGACTGTGGATTTTTATTTTTATTTTTTTGTAATTGTAATTTACGCTAAATCCTATTTGGAACCAAAATTGATCTTTAAAGACTCACAACGAAGAGAAGTAGTGATAGAAATAAATGTACAAGGAGAAAGGATTATAGCCATTGGTATATATGCTCCAAATGAGAAGAAGAGTGAGTTTTACCAAACCTTAGAAGGAAGTATGTGGGAGAAAAGATTATATTATTAGGGGACCAGAATGGGGTGGTAGCCCCAGATCTGGACAGAACTAAAAAGACCCCAAAAAGGAAACAAATGAAATTACCAACAACTTTCTTTCAGTTAACAGAAATGTTGAGTATAGACGATGTATGGAGAACTCAAAATCCATTTAAGAAGGAATTCACATACTTCTCATACCCTAAAAACACAGCTGGAAGGAACCAGATCGGTACCCCTTGCCCCTCATCTCGGAGTTGCTGGAGCGGGTGCAAGGGGCGCAGGTGTTCACCAAGCTAGACCTCCAGGGGGCCTACAATTTAATTCGGATCTGAGCCAGGGATGAGTGGAAGACAGCTTTCAGGACCCGGTATGGGCAGTTCGAATACCTGATAATGCCCTTCAGATTGTGCAACACGCCTGCTGTGTTCCAACGGTACATCAATCACGTGTTCCAGGACTTGCTAGACAAGTACGTGGTGGTGTACTTAGATGACATTCTGATTTTCTCCCATGACCCGGCTCGCCACGAGGGTCATGTCCGGACTGTGCTGCAGCGCTTGCGGGAGCACCGCCTGTATGCGAAGCTCAGCAAATGCGAGTTCCATCAGCGGTCAGTGGACTTCCTTGGTCACCAACTCTCTCCAGATGGGGTGCAGGTGGATCCTGGGAAGGTGGCAGCAGTTCAGGAATGGGCGGCACCTCAGAACCGCAAGGACCTACAGCGATTCCTGGGGTTCGCCAACTATTACCGGACCTTTATTGCAGATTATGCTCATTGCAGCACCCCGTTGACCCGGCTGCTGCGCCCCAAGACGCAATTTTCCTGGGACAAGGAGGCAGAGGAGGCGTTTCAGGGGTTGAAAGCCAGAGGGCGCCGATCTTGCAACATCCTGATCCCTCTCGACCTTTTGTGGTAGAGACCGACACCTCCAGCACGGCTCTCGGTGCCGTCTTGTCCCAGCAGCACGGACCTGATGCTCCACTGTTACCCTGCGCCTTCTATTACCGCCAGCTCCTTCCGGCGGAGCATAACTATACCGTCTGGGAGCGGGAACTACTGGCCATCAAGGTGGCCTTTGAGGTCTGGCGCCACCATCTTGAGGGGGCACGACACCCGGTGGAGGTGAGAACCGACCACCGGAACCTGGAGTACCTCCAGACCACCCGCAAACTGAACCAAAGGCAGATCCGGTGGGCGTTGTTCTTCTCCCGGTTCCAGTTCCGGATCCGCTACATCCCCAGCTCCCAAAACCAGAAGGCGGATGCCCTGTCCCGGAAACCTGAAGACATGGCAGACACGGTACAGCAAGCAGTACCAACCACGATCCTACCACCGGCTGCGTTCCTGGCCACTCAGGAGGCTGATCCACTGCAGGCTCGGGTGCGGGAACAGCAGCGGGTCAATGCTTGGGCCCAGGAACGACTCCGGGAACTGGCCAAAGGGTCATGCCCTCAGTATCCGGGGCTGGTCTTGCACCAGGGCCTTCTGCTGCACCACGGTCGCCTGTACATCCCGCCAGGGCCACTGCGGGCTGAGGTTCTCCGGGTAACCCATGATGCCCCAGCAGCGGGACACTTTGGGCGGTATCGGACCACCCATTTGGTAAGCCGCGAGTTTTGGTGGCCCCACCTGAAGGCTGACGTGGCTCGCTATGTCGCTGGTTGTGACGTCTGCCGGCGGGCCAAGGGCCCTACTGGGCGACCCCCCGGCCTACTTCAGCTGTTGCCAGTTCCACCACGTCCTTGGCACACGGTTTCGCTGGACTTTGTAGTGGACTTAGCCCCGTCTCGTGGCTGTACCTGCCTCCTAGTTTTCTCCGACCATTTCACTAAGATGGTGCACTGTGCCCCCTGCCCATCCATACCCACAGCTAAGGAAACCACTCAGCTATACCTTCAGAATGTCTTCCGCCTGCATGGCCTACCTGAGCGTGTGGTGTCCGACCGGGGCGTTCAGTTCACATCCCGTTTCTGGCGAGCGTTGCACCAGACCCTCGGGACAGAGGTCTGTCTATCGTCAGCCTACCACCCACAGACCGATGGCCAGACGGAACAGGCGAACGCGGTGCTGGAGCAGTACCTTCGGTGTTACTGCAGCTACCAGCAGGATGACTGGGTCGACCACCTACCATTGGCGGAGTTCGCTTACAACAACGCGGTGACTGCGTCCACCCAGCAGACCCTGTTCCAGGCCAGTTACGATTACCGTCTGCGGTTGTTCCTGGATGTGCTGCCGGCATCCGCAGTCCCTGTGGTGACAGAGTGGCTTCAGGAGCTCCAGTCTCAGCAACAACTATTGATGGAGCAACTGCGCCAGGCCAAGGAGGCATACAAGGTCCAGGCCGACCGCCACCGCCAGGTGGGGCCGGAACTCCACGTTGGAGACCTGGTATGGCTCTCCACTCGTCACCTCCACCCCTCTCGGCCTTCACGGAAGCTGGACGCCCGCTTCACCGGCCCGTTTCTCATCATGGACCAGGTCTCGCCTGTGGCATTCCGTCTCCGGTAGCCCGCAACCCTGAAGGTTCACCCGGTATTCCACAGGTCCCTTCTGAGTCCGGTGGCCCCGCCCGACGAGTTCCACCCGAACCGTCCCCAACCGCAGCCAGTTTTGGTTCAGGGGGAGCCCTAGTACGAGGTGGAACGCCTTCTGGACTCCCGATACCGCAGGGGAAAGCTGCAGTATCTCATAGACTGGAAGGGGTATGGACCTGAGGACCGTTCCTGGGAACCAGCAGCCAACGTCCACGCGCCTGCCTGCCTCTGTGATTTCCATGCGGCGTACCCCAGCAAGCCGGGTCCAGACCCTCGGTTGAGGGGGGGGACTGGGAGGGGGGATGGTGTGATGGCCTGGGAATCTGATTCAGAGGTTGAACCGGAGGAATCCCAGCCTGCACAGGAGTCCCCGCCTCCAGGGCCGGCTGAGCTGGGGCAGGGCCTTGAATCTGAAGGGCCTGCACCTGTGCCGGATCCTCAGGAGCAGACACCAGATGAATCCACTCTGGCTCCGGAGGTGATTGAGGACCCATTGCCTGCAGGTGCGCCTCTCCCAGCCCTGTCAGGGGAAGGTGAGCCTCCCCCTGGGTCCAGTAACCCTCCAGCCTCTCCTGAGCTGCAGAGGCTGAGGGCAGAGAGGCGGAGGGAACTGGGTTCTCTCAGGAGGCGTGCTCGCCTTAAGGCCAGGGAGGCGGGTCACCTGTGGGCCGGGACCGCCCCTGGCCTCAGAGAAGATAAAGGCCAGTCAGCCCGGTCCCAGGTTGCGGGAGCAACGTCGTTGGAAACCTGTTTCTGCCAGCACCCAGACCTGTTCTTCCAGAGTTCCCGACCTTGCCCGGCTCCTCGCTTTGGACCCCGCCTCGCCCTTGGTGGATAGTCTCCAGACCCTCGACCCAGGACCGGTCTCTGACCACGCCTCACGGTAACCTCCCCCCGGGACCAGCACAGATTATATCCGTGTATAGGACTACCCCCCAATTTTTTACATGAATTTTCTAGTAAAAATACCTAGTCTTATACACAGAAAAGTACGGTAATTTTAATTTTTATCATCTACCATACTGTCTTATTTCTTTTATAGTACAGTACATTAATGATTGCTTTCATGCTACGGATCCATGGTCTCGTTAAAGAGTAAAATTCATGTTCAATGGCTGTTTCAGGGGTTGTTTTTCAAAATTTGGAACAGATTAATCCGTTTTGTATTCCTCTCTATGGCAAAGCGCACCTTGGTTTTGGAATGCTTTGGTTTTGGAACAGACTTCCAAAACGGATTCAGTTTGAGAACCAAGGGACCACTGTATTAGCACAGCAACCCCTCCAGGTCTAGTGTGACCCATGCTACTGCAATGGCGAGTGGGATTTGCCCATGCTCCTAGCATCATGGAACTGGGCTGTCACAAGGCAAGTTGAGTACAGTGATACCTAATAATAATAATAATAATAATAATAAACACAATACAGCATTAAACATTAAAAACTTCACTAAACCTTGGTTCTCAAACTTAATCCCTTCAGGGTTTTGTGAGCCAGTGCCGGCTGATGTTTGCCACCTGCGCTACAGACTTTCCCACTCCACGGAGCCAGGTGTGCTTCATGGTTAGCCTGCTTGTGGGTCCGGCACCTTCCTGGGTTACTCCATATCTTGAGGCCAACAACCCCCTGCTGGGGAATCTAGACTACTTTATCATCACCCTGGAGGGCATGTTTGGGGAGCTGAACCGTGCCCAGACCGCTGAGATGGCCCTGCAGAACCTCCGGCAGGGTGCTCGCTCGGTTACTGAGTACGCCGCAGAGTTCCGTTGGTGGGCTGAGGACACCCTGTGGAATGAAGCTGCCCGTTAGTTCCACTTCCGCCAGGAACTTCATCCATGCCTCAAAGACGAATTGGTGCGAGCGACCCCCCCCCCCCCAGCAGCCCTGACAGACTTTATCACACTTTGTATTAACATCGATACGCGCCTGTCTGAGAGTGATTCCGAGCGCCGCTTGAGGGGGCCCCCAGAGCCCAATGCAGCGGTGGGGCTTGAGGAGGAGCCCATGCAAGTGGGTGCGGCCCACTGCTCTCTCTCCAGTCAAGAGAAAAGCCAGAGTTGGGCCCTGGGACTGTGCTTGTACTGCGGAGAGGGAGGCAATTTCGTGTCAGGGTGCCCGGCAAAGAGGTTCACGCCGGGAAACGACAAGTCCCGGCTGTGCTAGGAGGGGCTCAGCCGGGGCCCAGTCGCTGCACCCCCCATTTCCTGCTCCCTATCCGCATTCTCCTTTCCCAGTGGGGCATGCTGGCCCTGGAGGCAATGATTGATTCTGGAGCCTCTGGCGTCTTCATGGACATCAGTGTCACCGAGAAGTACCAGGTACCATCTGTAGTAAAAGCATCACCTGTTCCAGTGGTTGGCCTGGACGGGACCCCCTCACACTGGGACCCATTACCCATGACACCTGCCCGCTGGCCATGTTGGTGGCACGCCGGCACCAGGAACTATTAACATTTGAACTGGTTCAGACCCCACATTTTTTCAGTGGTCCTCGGGAGCCTCTGGTTGGTCTGGCATGACCCCGCCATTTCCTGGGCTCAACAGACACTGTGTTTCTCATCGTCTTTCTGCCATGACGTCTGTGCCCAGCCCCCTGTGTTGCCTCCATCACAGCCGGAACCCGCGAACCCCCACCGACTGGCCCCCACTTATTCCACTTTGCATGGGACCACCCCAGACAGGACAGGGCCACCGGACGCTGGCACTACCAGGATTTGGCAGACGTATTCGAGAAGAAAGAGGCTGAGGTGTTGCCACCCCCAGGGCTCCGCTAGGGGCGCCTTGGAAGATGGCCGACAATACCATCTCTCCAGCTCCCACGAGGTAATTTAGAGGCTGAGATGGGAGTAATCAGCCTCCCAAATTCTTCCCGGTGGAAGGGAAGATGCGTTCTCATCCGCGGCTGCCCACAAACCACCCCCGAGTTCGTAAAGAAGGAGGGGGTGGGGGCACTGGATGGAAAGCCCTTGAGGGAGTTCGGAGCTCCTGGACGCTGTCTCTGTGAGCGCTTCAAGTTCCATTTCTTAAGATAAAAGATTGGATTTAAGAATTTTGGACATGCTTCGGGCGAAGAAAGGGTAATTAATCTGCCAACTACAGCCACTGAGGTGTCAAGAGTGACAGGAGGAAGAAAAATAACATCAAAGAATAACATCTAAACTGGTATGTTGGAACGGAACGGAAAGGAGGGGGAAAAAAACGTTTTCTTTTTCTACTACGATAATACCTAACAACGCCCCCCCCAGAAGAACCGTCTACATTACTTATAGCAAGTGAGATCGGAAAATATAAACTGTGTGGAAATAATAATATTAATAAATATTAATAATATTAACTAAAGCCTTTGTTCTTTGAAATACTTGGAAGAAGATAAAAGACTCTTCTGTGACGCACTTTTAATCGGGATCCGCCATTATGAGACAGACTGAGTTGCAGAGATTAATAGTCATAGGGGGAGGCGAGCTCTTACTTTGTTATTATATCTGTATTTCAAGTCCGATTTGGCAAACCTCCCCTGGAAAGTCTAATGTTTGGTGCAACCTGTCTCAGAAAATTAATGAGCAAACGCCTAGATTTTATTTCATCAGAATTGAGAGAAGATGGCGTCTGCCACTAGAGAAGGACTTTTGGATTGATTTGACATAAACACCAGCATGTGAGGACATACTGCAAATAAAAGACTTACCAACTGCAGGGGAAAAAAGAGAGTCATACAAAGTTCACACAGAAGCATATTATTGCTCATTTCAGCTCGCCTGTGGAAACAACTCAGAGGCTATGAAAGAAAGAAGGATAGCAGCAGGAACATTTAAAGAAGGAACTATTGGACACTCAAAGCAGTAGAAACATAAGATGATTGAACCCCACTGAACTTGAAGCATGAGAAGCCCCAACAAAAATTTATAATTTGGCAAAATATTTGGACTTTATTATATGTATTTGCATAATTTGGAATATTTAATGTGATTGGATTGGATTGTTAAAATGGAAAACTTAATAAAAATTATTATAAAAAAAGAGGTGTTGCCACCCCATCGGACTTATGATTGCCCTACTGACTTGCAGCTCAGAGCAGAGATTCCCTTCGGCCGCATTTATGACTTGTCGACTCCTTAGCTAGGGGCCCTTCGAGAGCACCTAGGCGACAACCTTGCCAGGGGTTTCATTCGCCCCTCCACGTCCCCTGCTGGGACCGCCATCTTCTTCATTAAAAAGAAGTACAGCAGGCTATGTCCATGTATCGACTACCGAAAGCTGAACCAAGTTACCATCAAGAATCGTTACCCCCTGCCGTTAATTCCTGAATTGTTCGAGAGGCTGCAAGATGCGAAGGTTTTTACCAAGTTGGCTCTATGCGGGGTGTACAACCTGGTTTGGATCCGGGAGGAAAACAGTGTTCCGAACCCTGTACGGCCAGTTTGCAGGGCAGCAGCTGAGCTTGCAGGGCAGCAGCTGAAGAAGGAGCAAAAAGGGTTTTCTTGTGTGTGTGTTTCTTTGTGGCTGATTAGCTACTCTCCCTGTGCAAAGGTCAGAGGGGGCAGGGTTTCTGTTGAGGCAGGTGATTAGCTGTGGGAGGAGCTTATCAGAGCTTGCAGGGCAGCAGCTGAAGAAGGAGCAAAAAGGGTTTTCTTGTGTGTGTGTGGGAGGAGCTTATCAGAGCTTGCAGGGCAGCGGCGTGCACGGTTTGATTCATCTTTTAGATTTAGGGGAGCTAGTCTCAAACGTTTGTTGGGGGAGACCTAGGGGATTTTTTTGGGGGGGGAGTTATTTGTCCTGTCTTCACGCTTTTTATGATGGAGGACCGCTGTAGCCACCCCAAAAGACATGTTCTCAAGATGGAGGGGGAAGGAACAGCTGCAGTCGCCTGCGGTTCCTGCGCAATGTTTGCCATCTTGCCAAAGGTTGCAGGCAGCTTTACCTGCAGCAATTGCATGTTGATTGCCCTCTTAGAAGACAAAGTCCAGCAACTGGAGGAACGTGTAGCTACGCTCCAAAAAATTAGAGAGCTGGAGCTCTTCTTGGAAGCAACAGAGCACACCGTCTCCACCAAGGAGGAGACAGGGGACTCCCCTGAGAAGGACGCTAGTTCACCAACACAGGAGCCAGATATATGGAGAAACGTGACTCAAAGAAGTAGGAGGCCCAGGGTTCGGTCTGATTGTTTAGAAATACACAATCGCTTTGAGGTCCTCTCCTCTAGCACGGAAGACGAAGAGCAGACTCCATTTGAGGATCTCTCCCTCATTACAGTCGATCAGGTATATGAAGACGAGCAGCAAAGTCAGTCCTCAGGGAATGTGCAGGCGACCTTGGAACGGACAGCTCACAGAAGAACCCCGACCAAACCTAAGAGGAGGCGTGTAGTGGTGATAGGGGATTCTCTACTGAGGGGAACAGAAGCAGTGATCTGTGGGCCTGACAAGATGTCTCGGGAAGTGTGCTGTCTCCCCGGGGCTAAGATCCAAGATGTAACTGAACGACTGCAAGGAATCATAAAGCCCACTGACAAATACCCCTTCCTCTTGGTTCATGTTGGAACCAATGACACTGCAAGCAATAGCCTCCAGAAGATCAAAAGAGACTACGAGGCTCTGGGCAGGAAATTGAAGCAATTAAATGCACAAATTGTCATCTCATCTGTCCTCCCAGTTGAACGACGTGGCCCAGGGAGAGAGGGAAAATAGTGGAAGTGAACAGCTGGCTTCGCAAATGGTGTAAACAGGAACGGTTTGGATTCTTAGATCACGGACTGCAGTTTCTTGAAGATGGACTTCTGGCAAGCGATGGGCTGCACCTCACAACGGTTGGGAGGAATGTTTTTGCCAAAAATCTCAGAAACCTCATCAGGAGGGCTTTAAACTGACTAATGTGGGGGAGGGAGACAGTGCTCCTGAAGGTAGGAGTCTATCAATTGATGAAGATGATCATCCAAATGTCATAGACCAAATGGAGCAAACAGCACGCAGACCTAGTGGTGGGAGGAAAAAATCCTTAAATAAGAGATACGGGGGAATGATTAATGGACTTCAATGTCTGTACACTAATGCGCAAAGCATGGGAAATAAACAAGATGAGCTTGAGCTCTTGGTACAGCAAACTAAATATGACATAATGGGCATCACTGATACCTGGTGGGATAAGTCCCACGGTTGGAATGTAATAATGGAGGGATACAATCTATTTCAGAGAAACAGACCAGACAAGAAAGGAGGAGGAGTGGCGTTATATGTCAGGGATGTGTATACCTGTGAAGAGATCCAAGATTTAGAACCTCAAAGCCAAAGTGAGAGCATTTGGGTCAAAATTAAGGAGAGAAGAATAACAGTGACCTCATTGTGGGAGTTTACTATAGATCCCCAAGCCAAACGGAGGACATAGATGATGCCTTCCTGGAACAGATGGCCAAGCATGCAAAAGGAAGGGAGATAGTAGTAATGGGGGACTTCAATTACCCGGATATTTGTTGGATGTCAAACTCAGCCAAGAGCATAAGGTCAAACAGATTCCTCACTGGCCTTGCAGACAACTTCATTGTCCAGAAAGTGGGAGAAGCAACAAGAGAAACAGCCATTTTAGATCTGGTCCTAACCAATGTTGATGACCTGGTTAGTGGGGTAGAAGTGGAAGGATCATTAGGCGTGAGTGATCATGCTCTTCTGAAGTTTACTATACAGCGGAAAGGAGCAGCCAAGCATACTAGGACTCAATTTCTTGACTTTAAGAAAGCCGACTTCATAAAACTTAGGGAAGTGCTGGGTGAGATCCCATGGACAGTAATACTAAAAGGAAAGGGAGTTCATGATGGCTGGGAGTTTGTTAAGAGGGGATACTAAAAGCACAACTTCAGGCAATACCAATGAGACGGAAACATGGAAGGTGCCTAAAGAAGCCAGGGTGGCTATCTAAAGAACTTTTAACTGAGTTGAGATTAAAAAGGATGTGTACAAAAATGGAAAAGGGAAACCACCAAAGAGGAATTCAAACAAATAGCCAGCACGTGTAGACACAAAGTCAGAAAAGCTAAAGCACAGAATGAACTCAGGCTTGCTAGAGAGGTTAAAAGCAACAAAAAAGGCTTTTATGGGTATGTTTGTAGCAAAAAGGAAGAACAAAGAAGCAGTGGGGTCACTCAGAGGAGAAGATGGTGAAATGCAAACAGGGGACACAGAAAGAGCTGAACTCCTCAATGCCTTCTTTGCCTCAGTCTTCTCCGATAAAGAAAACAATGCCCGACCTGAAGAATTTGGAGCAAATGATTCAGCAGAGGAAACACAGCCCAGAATAACTAAGGAGATAGTACAAGAATACTTGGCTAGTTTAGATGTATTCAAGTCTCCAGGGCCAGATGAACTGCATCCAAGAGTATTAAAAGAACTGGCAGATGTGATCTCAGAACCACTGGCAGTCATCTTTGAGAATTCCTGGAGAACAGGCGAAGTCCCGGCAGACTGGAGGAGGGCAAATGTTGTCCCTATTTTCAAAAAGGGGAAAAGAGAGGACCCAAATAATTACCGCCCAGTCAGTCTGACATCAATACCAGGGAAGATTCTGGAGCAGATCATTAAGCAAACAGTCTGTGAGCACCTAGAAAGGAATGCTGTGATCACCAATAGTCAGCATGGATTTCTGAAAAAGAAGTCATGTCAGACTAACCTGATCTCGTTTTTGACAGAATTACAAGCCTGGTAGATGAAGGGAACGCAGTGGATGTAGCCTACCTTGATTTCAGCAAGGCATTTGACAAGGTGCCCCATGATATTCTTGTAAAGAAGCTGGTAAAATGCGGTCTTGACTATGCTACCACTCAGTGGATTTGTAACTGGCTGACTGACCGAACCCAAAGGGTGCTCATCAATGGTTCCTCTTCATCCTGGAGAAGAGTGACTAGTGGGGTGCCACAGGGTTCTGTCTTGGGCCCAGTCTTATTCAACATCTTTATCAACGACTTGGATGATGGACTCAAGGGTATCCTAATCAAATTTGCAGATGACACCAAATTGGGAGGGGTGGCTAACACCCCAGAGGACAGGATCACACTTCAAAACGACCTTGACAGATTAGAGAACTGGGCCAAAACAAACAAGATGAATTTTAACAGGGAGAAATGTAAAGTATTGCACTTGGGCAAAAAAAATGAGAGGCACAAATACAAGATGGTTGACACCTGGCTTGAGAGCAGTACATGTGAAAAGGATCTAGGAGTCTTGGTTGACCACAAACTTGACATGAGCCAACAGTGTGACGCGGCAGCTAAAAAGCCAATGCAATTCTGGGCTGCATCAATAGGAGTATAGCATCTAGATCAAGGGAAGTAATAGTGCCACTGTATTCTGCTCTGGTCAGACCTCACCTGGAGTACTGTGTCCAGTTCTGGGCACCACAGTTCAAGAAGGACACTGACAAACTGGAAGGTGTCCAGAGGAGGGCAACCAAAATGGTCAAAGGCCTGGAAACGATGCCTTATGAGGAACGGCTAATGGAGCTGGGCATGTTTAGCCTGGAGAAGAGGAGGTTAAGGGGTGATATGATAGCCATGTTCAGATATATAAAAGGATGTCACATAGAGGAGGGAGAAAGGTTGTTTTCTGCTGCTCCAAAGAAGCGGACACGGAGCAATGGATCCAAACTACAAGAAAGAAGATTCCACCTAAACATTAGGAAGAACTTCCTGACAGTAAGAGCTGTTCGACAGTGGAATTTGCTGCCAAGGAGTGTGGTGGAGTCTCCTTCTTTGGAGGTCTTTAAGCAGAGGCTTGACAACCATATGTCAGGAGTGCTCTGATGGTGTTTCCTGCTTGGCAGGGGGTTGGACTCGATGGCCCTTGTGGTCTCTTCCAACTCTATGATTCTATGACTGTGCAATGTGCCGGCCACGTTCCAGCACTTCCTAAATGATGTTTTTCATGACTTACTGGAACGATTCATGGTCATTATTAAAGTTTCTGGATCACAAATCCTTTGACCCACTGAGTCTGCTGCAATGGCCCTGCAATAATTCTGATTTATTGGCACTCCGACAAACTTCAGTGGCACCCACACTCTACAACTTGCGAGCTGCCACTCTTCTCAGTTGCCGGATAATGGCAGAGTTCACACACAGCATAAAATGGCTTGTCTGTGTCGACGTGGTGTCTTCAATAACTCAGTGCGACACCAGTGTTTCTAATCTATCACTCTTTATTTAGAAGCATAACAAACAGAAAAGAAAACCTAAAGAATCTAGCTGCATGTTCGCAGCTTCCTGTCTCTAACAAAAACGAAACTACCTCGCCCACATTCTCAGACTGCTCTCCAGAGAGAGCTCAGCCCCCACAGAGCACAGATCAAAGGAAAATGCCAGGATCATGTAGGCAGTATTCGAATTTCAGCTCCGGTCGTCCGAGCTGATAAGGCTCATCTTCCTTTGAGCCCAGCACAGCATTAAAACAATGCCACAACGCCACAGTGGAAGGATGAGACAGGTACGGGCTACATTGCTATACTTTATTACTAAGCTATGCAGAGCGCAAAGAAAAACACATCTCCTCTCTGTGAGAAGCAGAGAGCAACTGAACAAAGGAAACAAAAGAACAAAGGAAACAGGAAACCAGTAACGTCACATCCCGTCTCCCTTTCCCGTGAGAATCCAACAGTATCTGGACTCTGTGGAATGTAAACAGTCCTGGGACTGCAAGCAGCTGCTCAGTGAGGAAACAGAAACTAACAGGCAGTGCACCCAGTGAATCAGAAGGCTTCCTGGAGTGTTAACTCTTGACTGTCTAGAACCACAGCAGTCGTGTACTTGGATGACGTATTGATATTTTCAACGTCCCCAGAGGAGCATCACCAGCATGTCTGTCTGGTCCTGCAGCGTCTTAGGCAGCACCGGCTGTATGCCAAGCTGGAAAAGTGTGCGTTCCACCAGGAGTGCATGGAGTTCCTGGGTTACATCATCTCCCCTACAGGCCTCCAGATGGACCCCTGAAAGGTGCAGGCAGTGCTGGACTGGAGCCCCCCCAGGGATGTAAAGGGGGTACAATGGTTCATCAGGTTTGCCAACTTCTACCGCCACTTCATTCAAAGAATTTCGCATCTGGTTGCCCCTATCTGCGCCCTGGCCCTGAAGGACGCCGTGTTCCAGTGGACACCAGCTGCGCAAGAGGCCTTCAAGCTCCTGAAGGAGGCTTTTACCTCTGCCCCCATCCTGGCCCTTCCAGACTCACAGCTCCCCTTTGTGCTGGAGGCGGACGCCTCAGACTGGGCGATAGGGGCCGTGCTGTCTCAAAGGCAGGGGCCACAGCAGTTGCTTCACCCCTGCACTTTCTTCTCCCAGCAGTTTACTTCTGCGGAGCGGAATTATGATATTTGGGACCGTGAACTCCTTGCCATTAAAGTGGCATTCGAGGAATGGCATCACTTGCTGGAAGGGGCCCAGCACCCGGTTCAGCTCCTCACGGATCATCGGAACCTCGAACATTTCCAAGCCATGAAATGCCTCAAGCCAAGCCAAGCTCGCTGGGCCCTGCTCTTCAGGCACTTTAACTTCCAGGTCACCTATCGTCCCAGTGCCCAGAATGGGAAGGCCGACGCTCTCTCCCGGAGGGATTCGGGCTCCGAGGATGACGGTTCAGAGCCAGCGCCCATGTTGACCCCGGCCAATTTCCTCCAAGGAAAGAAGCCGGTAAGAAGCCGAGGATAAAATTTAAGATTTTAACAGATAAAATTTATCCTCTGGTAAGAAGCCGAGGATAAAATTTAAGATTTTAACAGATGCAAAAGAAAGAGGAGGCTTCGCCCTGCCAGACCTGAAATTATATTATGAAGCATCTTGCCTCTGTTGGTTAAAGGAATGGATAAAAGTACAAGATACGGATGTGTTAGACTTAGAAGGTTTTGATAATAGATTTGGGTGGCACGCGTACTTGTGGTATGATAAGAAATGGGTCCACAAAGGTTTTGAAAATCATATTATAAGAAGGTCCTTGATTGAAGTATGGGAAAGATACAAAAATCTGTTGGAACAAAAAACTCCTTGTTGGTTATCACCGCTGGAAGCAATGAGCGTGAAGAAAGTCAATATGACAGGGGGTTGGGTAACATATGAGAAATTAATATGCAAAAGTGAAGGAAAATGGAAAATGAGACCATTTGAAGAAGTTAAGAATCATGTGAATGACTGTCTGCATTTTTTTCAAATTAATGAGATGTTTAGAAAAGATTTAAATGAAAGGGGCTTTGCTGATAAAGAATCCAAATTTCAGACTGACATATTAAATAATGACTGTAAGATCTTAGCAAAAATGTATAAGATATTGCTGGAATGGTATACGAAGGATGAGGAGGTAAAATCTGTGATGATTGATTGGGCCAAAGATATAGGACATAATATACAAATGGAGGAATGGGAAAGACTTTGGAAAGATGGTTTAAGATTTACTGCATGTACTGCTATAAAAGAAAATGTTATGAAGATGATGTATCGATGGTATATAACCCCCGTAAAGTTAGCAAAAATGTATAAGATAAGTAACAAATGTTGGAAATGTAAAGAAAAGGAAGGCACTTTTTTTCATATGTGGTGGGAGTGTAAGAAGGTAAAATGCTTCTGGGAAATGATTTATAATGAATTGAAGAAAATGTTGAAATATGCATTTACTAAGAAACCAGAAGCGTTTTTACTAGGTATTAGAGGGAATGAGATAAACAAGAAAGAGAAGAAGTTATTCTTATACGCAGTGACTGCAGCAAGAATATTGATGGCCCAGAAATGGAAACAAGAGGAGCTGCCTACGATAGAAGATTGGAGAGCCAAAATGATGGACTATGCGGAATTGGACAGAATGACAGGAAGGATTCGGAATCGACGAGATCAAAGATTTACAGAAGATTGGGAGAAGTTTATTCAATATTTGCAAAAACTAAGTGATAACGAGATTACGTTTGTAAGTTTTAAGGAAGCTCTGTGATGTTAAAATCTAATAATAAGTATAAACAATGAAATTGAAGCTACCAGAATAAATAACAATAAGTAGGATTGTGTTAAAAGTTATAAAATGAAGGAAGTTCAGACAAATTGAGGGAAGTCAAAAAAATGGAATTAAGAGGTAATTAAGAAGTTTGAATGTACAACTTTGTTTTCTTTTTTTTAATTGTAAACCAATAAAAATATAATTCAAAAAAACAACAACAATTTCCTCCAAGGAACCTGGGAGCAGGACTTTCAGGGACAGGTTTGCCTAGCTGTGCGCCAGGATCCGTTTGCCAAGGACCGGTTAGATACCGTCCCGGTGCCTTCAGGACCGGGGGGTGCACCGCTTGATGTTCAGGATGGGTGTGTGTACCATCACGGCCGGCTCTACATTCTGGAGGGGCTGCTCCGGACCCAGGTCCTTGAGCAGTGCCACGACGCACAAATCGCCAGACATCGCGGGTACGCAAAAATACTGCAGCTACTGTCCCAGGCCTTCTGGTGGCCAGGGGTTCGGTTGGACATTAAGAAATATATGCGGTCCTGTGAGATTTGTGCTCGGACCAAGGTGCCGCGATAGAGACTCCTGGGACTCATCCAGCCGTTACCCACCCCCCCACAGACCATGGTCAATGCTTTCTATGGACTTCATCGTGGACCTGCCGGTGTCCAAGGGACATTCTGGTGGTGGTGGATTCACTCACCAAGACGGCACACTTTATCCCGGTCCGAAGCCTCCCCACAGCGCAACAGACAGCCCATCTGTTTCTTGAACACGTATTCCGGCTACATGGGCTCCTGGACACGGTGATCTCAGAAAGGCCCCCAGTTCACGTCCCAGTTCTGGATGGCCTTTCTCAAGGGACTGGGTATCGAAAGGCGACTCTCCTCCGCATATCACCCATAAACAGATGGCCAGACGGAGAGGGTTAATCAAGTTCTGGAGCAGTATCTCCACTGCTTCTTGAGCTATCATCAGGACAACTGGTCGGATCTGCTGCCATTGGCTGAGTTATCCTACAACAACTCCTGCCATGCCTCCACGGAACAGAGCCCTTTCTATGCCAACTTCAGGTACCACCCGTGCCACCACCCCTGCACACTGGCAGCATCTCTCGTGCCTTCTGCCAATTATCAGGTCTCCCACATTCAGGAGACACAAGCCGACCTGGTACAGCACCTAGAGAGAGCCAAGGCCGATTACACTGGGGAACAAAATTTTTGTTGCATTGACACCTACAGTTGTTCTAACCTACTTTCGACATGCTGATTTCATATCTGAAGTTGGTTTTGTTCGGTAAGCTCTAGGTTTTTTGCAATTCATGTTTTTCACTTTTCACCATAATCTTTGTTTTTCACAATGCAAGAATTCAATATGTTATTAAACACATAGTCAAAGTAGTACAATAGGAGTATAAATTTGAGTGACTTATATAGCATTGAACATGACATGTATAGCATTGAAAATGACATTTATATCTATGTACAGTTGGAGGTATGCAAAAAAATGTATTCCCTTGGGATACACAGTATACTGGGGAACAATTTTTTTTGTTTACACATTTTTGTCTACTTGAAGAAGCCATGGTCCGATCTGAAAAATACAAATATTTAGGTTACAAAACTGTAAAAATAAAGAAAAATTAAGTTTGCAAAACAATAATTACCATGTGGTTAGGGTAGATCAACGTGTCAGCGTCCACTTATCCCCAGTGTAAATACGGCATATCGGCAAAAGTCAGAAATTGAAAGATAACTATAGCATGTACACGGAAATCGATTTCAGATTTGAAATCAGCATTGAAAGAACATATAAGAACAGTTGAAAAATCTCGTGCAACAGAAAATGAAAATTTTTTTGTTCCCCAGTGTTATAAGGCGCAAGCTGACCGACGGCGTCATCAGGGGCCCTCGTTCCAGGTAGGGGACAAGGTCTGGCTGTCCTTGGAGCACCACCACACTGGACATTCCCTCGGCTAAGCTGGACTACAGGTACCAGGGACCATTCACCATCCTGCAGCAGATCAATCCGGTCGCCTACAAGTTGGAGCTTCCCCCCTCCCTGAAGATCCACCCAGTGTTTCACGTATCCCAGCTCAAGCCCTGCCATGCAAACTATTTTCCGGGTCGCATCGCCCCGCCGCCGCCAGTCCAGGTTGACGGCCATGAGGAGTTCCCGGTTGCCCAGATCTTGGACTTGAAACAGCTCCGTGGCAAGCTCCACTATCTAATTGACTGGGTGGGCTATGGGCCTGAGGAAAGATCATGGGAACCGGCCGACCTCCTGCACGCACCTGCCAAGGTTCGGGCCTTTCACTGGCAGTTCCCAGACAAGCCCGGGCCTTAAACGGAGGTGGAACCCCGTTTTCCTATTGGGGGGAGTAATGTCAGGAGTGCGTGCAGGAGCCAGGCCCTGTGACTGGTAGGGCCTTGCAGGACTAGGGCCTTCCTGAGTTTGGCCTGGAAGGGCAAGGCACGGCAGCACAGGTGAGGCTTGACAGAAGACTCGTAGCACCTGGTGGCAAGGGCCAGGAGGGGTATATAAGACCAGCATTTCCCCCTGGCTCTTTGCCACAGCAACACGCTACCCGCCTAGCTGTGCTTTGGCTTCTTGACTCCTGGTTTCCTGACCCTCGGACTCTTTGCTTCCTGACTCCTGGTTTCCTGATTCATGGACTCTTGGCTTCCTGACCCCTGGACTGCTGATTCCTGCTTCTCGACCTCTACCCCGGTCCCGACGTACCAAGCTGGGACTCTGACTGCCCGTAACCTGGACCGTGACAATGGGGGGCTTCTATCCGTTTCTGCAGTCACACAATCCATCCATCCGTAGCTAAAGTCATTGTTTGGATGGGGGGCTTTGATCCATTTCTCCCGTCACACAATCAATCAATTAATCAATCACTTCCTGTTTCCGGCGGTGGGAAATGGCGGAGTCCCACATGATTGGACTCCAGCCGTTCCGATAATTCAGGGCTGATATGGGGGTAATTAGCCCTGGCAGCCTCCCTCCCAGGGCAGGGGAGGACTGTCTCGACGACCCGCGGTTGGCCCCAGATTGCTGATGTGGCAGACGGCAGGGGCACTGGGTCACGGAGCAAAGGACGACTGACATTCCTGCAATGCCACCCCATAGCCGGACGCATCTGTTTGGGAAAATATAAAGATTTGAAAAACAAACAGACATGCTGTGAACTGACAAAGCTGGAAAAAAACCTTCAGTATGTACAGTCTCTGGTGTAAAAGATCGAACTTCAAAGAGATCCTCATCATGATGTTTGGAATCTGGAGGGGCTTGGTATGTTTTTTTCTTCTTCTAACATTAACAATTGGTTCTGCATGCCAAGCCTCATTAAGAGCCTAAATTGCTCTTTAAAAAGTGAGCACAGATGGACTTTTATATATAATTGGGACTTATTCGCAGATTTGAAATCCCTGTTAAAGACAAAAACAAAGAAGAAAATGGTGCCTACCCAGAATATCTGAAATACCTCCCTAATTAAGAGAAACAGGAGCTAACCGATGGTTGGTGTCAGGGGTTCAGAGAGAGAGGCACAGGGTAGGCAGGAGATGGAGAGCGAGGGGGAGGAATTCCAAGCCAGCGAGGAAGAGGATGACAATGACTCAAGGGATTCCATGAGTCTTTCCAGCGAATCAGAGGATTCCCAGAAGGGGGCGCCGGTGGTCAGGGCCAGGGGAGCCCCAGGGGGGAAGTGTCAGGAGCAGGGTGCCAGCGGAGGATCCCAAAGTGGCAGCTGGGCGTCAGGACCAGCCTCCCCACCAAAGTGCAGTGAAGGGGGTGGAGTTTCCAGTGTGTCAGAGGAAGCAGCTCCAGCAGCAGAGAAAGGAGGGGGGTCAGAGCAAGCCGCCCTCCCGGAAGGGGAGGGGAGCAGTGAAGGGAGTAGTGTAACTGTCAAAAGGAAAGTTAGAGGTTGGCGCGCGCGCCTAGTTCAAATGTAGAGGCGCGCGGAAATGCAGGGAGTCCGGAGGAGGGGCCAGGTCCCAAAGCCCGCAGGAGGGGGGAAGAGCAGTCTGGGGATTCAGCGTCAGAGGAATCCAGAAGGGGCGCAACCCCAGGGGGCAGAAGGACCCTGCGGAAAAGGAAGGAGAGAAAGAGGTGGAGCAGCGCAAGTCTCTTAAATTGGTGCAGAGGAGGAACTGACTCAGAAGGGGACTTCGGCGGTCTAGCGTAAGAGACGTAAGGCTGCGCGCCTAGGATGTCAAGCAACCATGAACTGCAATAAACACCTTTGTATACAAGAAGACGTAGGCGTTGGTCTTTTGTGAGCTAAGACTTGAGGCAGCCTTGACAGTAAGTCCCCTTCTCAGTACAAAAAACCGCAAAAAAATTTTTTTGCACAGCTCACGAAGTTTGGCAGCAATGACTACTGAGGAGCAGATAGCGTCCCTGCAAAACGCAGTCACCGAGCTCTCCACTGCCGTCGTGGTTTCTCAGAAGACAGTTGCAGAAGCAGAAGCGCGATGCCAGGATCTGCAAGCCAGGTGGGATCGGGCGTGCAGAGAGGGGTTCCCGGGGTCCAGATCAGAGGGAATCGGACTGGGACGAAGGGGGGGCAATTTAGTAGCCCACTTCGATGGGAACCTGAAGCATTATCCCAATTTCAGAGCAGACGTCGTATATGCACTGCATTTACTTCGAAAGGACTTCAAGGATGAGGAGGAAAAAGTGGGGTTCATTGTGTCGCACCTGCATGGGGAAGCAAGGAATTGGTTACGCAATTTATGGCGCGAAGATGGTCTTGCACGCAGGGACTCTGATGAATTTCTCAAAGCCATGGACGCTTGCTTCCAATCTACTGTTGACGTTGATGTGGCACGTCAGGAGATGCATGGATTGCGGCAGGGCAAGGCTACAGTGCGTCAGTACCATTCTCGCTTTTTTGCATTGCTGAATGTGCTGGGCTGGGAAAAGGACTCCCTGGCAGTGAGGGACTTGTTTTGGGAAGGGCTGCATGGCTCAGTGAAAGATGAGCTGGCTAGGGGAGACAGACCTCAAACCCTAGCAGACGTCGTGCAGAGGGCACTCACGATAGGGGTGCGCCAAGAAGACCGCCCTTGGCACAGGGAGGAGGGGCGTCACGTCCGCCCACCAGCTAGAGCGCCTCCTTTTCCTTCCAGGGACTTGGAACGTTCAAGCCTTTCGCCTGTCCTGGCAGCGGGGGAAGAACAGATGGAACTGGGTGGTGCAAAGGCTCAGACAGCTGCCGGAGCCTCAGCGTCAGGAGCAGTCAAAGCGAAGCCTCCTAGAGGGACCAGGAAGTGTTACATCTGTGACAGTGCACGGCACATGGCTAAAGAGTGTCCCCAGAGGCTCCAGAAGCACACTGCAGCCTTAGCAACAGTAACAGGGGAAGCTTTCCAAGGGGAGCAGTTTCAGGGAAACGAGAATGCCTGGTTGGAGGGAGAGACGCTGGGGCTCCGCCAGGCAAGTCAATGAAGCAGTCCCCAGCGCTTTTGCAGCCTACAGACCCCTTACCACCTAAGCCAGTGGTGCAGCTCACTGCTACTCTCCAGCTGCCTAATGGACTCACCCTGGAAGTCCCCATTACGATTGACTCAGGGAGCAACGCAGACTTCGTGGGGGTGCAGTTCGTCAAGCAGCATCGCATAGCGCTACTACCAGCCACGCTGCCTCTGAATGTGGTCACTGTAGATGGCAGGAAGTTGCTGGGTGGGCAAGTGGTACAACAGACGCCACCCATGCTGCTGAAAATTGGGAATCATCGCGAGGTCATCAGTTTCAATGTCACCCAACTGTCAGACACGCCCATAGTGCTAGGCATGAGTTGGCTGGATAGACACAGCCCATCCTTGGCGTGGTACCAGCGGCAGCTCACCTTTGGCTCGTCCTACTGTGCACAACATTGCATCCAGATTGGTGAGGACGAGGAGGGCCGGGAGGAAGGGCAACAGCTGCATCTAGGCATGGTGCAGGCAGTGCCCCACAAGTACAAGGGATTTTTGGAGGTCTTCTGCGAGAAGGAAGCTGACCAATTACCACCCCACAGGCCCTACGACTGTGCAATTGACCTCTTACCAGGGGCAACGCTGCCGACTGCGAAGCTGTATTCCATGTCTGAAGATGAGATGCAGGAGCTCAGGGAGTTCATAGATCACAATTTGAAGCGGGGATTCATCCGAGAATCCAAGGCAGTGGGGGGGCAGTCCTGTGTTTTTCGTGAAGAAGAAGGACACGCCCCAAAAACGACTCATTGTGGACTATAGGGCCATAAACTCGATGACAAAACCCAAGGCTTTCCCCATGCCCAAGATTGACGACCTGCTCGCGACGGTGAGGAAGGGGAGGATCTTCACCAAGTTGGATCTACGCGGAGCCTACAATCTCATACGCATGAGGGAAGGTGACGAGTGGAAGACGGCCATGTTCACGCCGCTGGGCACCTATGAATACAGAGTTATGCCGTTTGGTCTCCAAAATGGCTCCCACTGTTTTCAAGCATTCATGCACCACGTGCTAGCAGGACTCCTCTACAAGAAGTGCGTATGCTTTCTCGACGATATTCTGATCTTCTCGGAATCGCAGGAGACTCACGAAAGAGACGTAAAGGAGGTCCTGCAGAGGCTACGGGAGCACAGACTCTACGCCAAGCTGGAGAAGTGCCAGTTCGACGTGACGGAGGTGGATTTCCTGGGCTACCGGCTGTCCGACAAGGGACTAGCCATGGACAGCGCCAAGGTCCGCGCGGTGTTGGACTGGAATAGCCCGCGCAATCGGAAGGAGGTCCAGCGGTCTGACGGGGTCGCCAACTTTTACCGCAAGTTCATCGGGGGTTTCGCGAAAGAGACGGCAGCTATCACGGACACCCTCAGTTCCAAGAAGAAAAGTTCACCTGGACGGACCAGGCGGAGCAGTCCTTCAGGAGACTTAAGAGTCTCTTCGCGTCCGAAGACCAGCTGCTACACGTGAATCCTGGCAGGCCCATGCGGGTTGAGACTGACGCATCTGACAGAGCAGTGGGGGCCGTCCTCTTGCAGGAAGATTCGCAAGGGAACTGGAGGCCCTGCGCTTTCTACTCCCGGAAGCTCAGCAAGTCGGAACAGAACTACACCATCTGGGACAGGGAGTTGATGGCCATCCACGCGGCTTTCAAGGCGTGGCGGCACTTCCTCATCGGAGCCAAGCACACCGTGCAGGTCCGCACGGACCACAAGAACCTGGAGTATTGGCGCACGGCGAAGCTCCAGAGCCAGAGGCACATGAGATGGGCGGAGTTCTTTGCGGATTTCGATTTCCGGATAGAGTATATCCCGGGAGACAACAACATCATAGCGGATGCGCTCTCCAGGAAACCGCAGTATCTTGAGGAAGCGGCACCAGTGGCAGCCAGGCACATTTTTGCACCGCAAGCGTGGGCGTGCGCTTCTGCCGCCGTGGACCTGGACGCGGTACGACGCGCGCTACAGACGGACCCGTTTGCACAATCCAAGATGGAGGAGGTGCGAAGAGGGACAGCAAAGGACGGCGAATTCCAGATACGCGACGGCCTGCTGACCCGCAAAGGTGCTCTCTATGTCCCGGGAGACGATCTCCGAGCGAAGGTTTTACAGCAGTTACACGACGCCCCCAGCGCGGGTCACTTCGGCAAGGAGAAGACGGCGGACTTAGTAGCCAGGGACTTTTGGTGGCCCCAGATGCGGGGAGAAGTCGCGGATTACGTCGCCAGATGTGACACTTGTCAGAGGTCCAAGCCAGTGCACAAGAAGCCAGCGGGATTGCTGGAACCGCTGGAGACGCCACTGCAGCCGTGGGAAAGGGTGGCGCTGGACTTTGTCACTGATCTGCCCAGTTCAAGGGGCAAGACGGCGGTGCTTGTGGTTGTAGATCTGTTCACCAAGATGGCGCATTTCATTCCTTGCGCGAAGGTGGCAACAGCGGAGCAGACCGCCAGGCTATTCATAGACCACGTGTTCCGGGTGCACGGCTTACCACGGTCCATTTTGTCCGACCGGGGTCGCCAATTCATTTCCAGTTTCTGGCAGAAGCTCCTGGGCATCCTGAATGTCAAGATCAACTTAGCGTCGGCGAGACACCCGCAAACCAACGGCCAAGCGGAGAGGGTCAACGCCATCATGCAGCAGTACCTGCGATGTTACGCCAATCAGAAGCCTGCAACTTGGGTGGACTACTTACCGATGGCCGAGTTTGCCTACAACAACACGAAGCACGCGTCAACGGGGGTGACACCGTTCTTCGCCAACAATGGGCGACACCCCAGAACATTCCCGGCGTTGGAGACGACGACGCAGGGGGAGTCGCAGGGAGCGGAACATTTAGCAGCAGAATTGCAGGAGGTCCACGAGGAGCTACGACGGCACTTGGAACTAGCTAAACACGCCTACAAAGTGCAGGCAGACAGGCACAGGAGGGCAGGAGAAGACATCCAGGTGGGGGACTGGGTATGGTTAGCAGCCCAGGCGGTGCCGGCCAAGTCGTTAGCTAAGAAGAAGCTAGGACACAAACAGCTAGGGCCATACCAAGTTGAGGGCAGGATCAATCCCGTAGCTTTTCGGTTGACCCTCCCAGAGGATTCCCGAATGCACCCGGTCTTTCATAGGTCGGTGCTTACACCCTACAAGGCCCCACACAGATTTCAGGAGCCAGGGACGGCACCAGACCCGCGTAGGAAGTCACCAGGGGGGGGGAAGTCACCGAGGACCCCGACACTCAACGAGGTCACGGAAATTCTGGACTCGAGATGGGGGGAGGAGGGAGTGGAATACCTCCTCGCCAGGGAAGGTACCCCGGCTAGCGCCAACAGTTGGGTGCCAGATTATGCTCTGGAGGAACCTTTGCTTAAGGACGAGTTCCATGCACTCTTCCCACACAGGCCCATGCCAGAGGAGTATTTTGACGACTGGCTTTTACCCCCACACTTTCAGGCAGCACCTTCAGGGGGTTCTCCTCCGCAGAGGAGACCACGCCGCAATCGAGCCCTCCAAGGGGATCGGGCTCGGGGTGGACACGGACCGCTCTTATTGGTGGGACGATCAACCAGAAGTGGGGTGGCGAAGGGGACCTTGGCAAGCAGCTTCGCCTGAAGTAACAGGGGGAGGGAAGGGTTTGGAGGTGTTTGGGGAGGACCCCGGTTTCGAGCACTCCTACACTGAACTGGAAGCAGAGGAGATCGACGTCGACGAACTGTATCCAGCATCTACCCCCGCTACAACGAAGCTCCCGGAACCTGCGCCCGAGCAGCGGGAGGGGGGAAGGGGGGGCTTTGAGGGGGGGATGGATGTCAGGGGTTCAGAGAGAGAGGCACAGGGTAGGCAGGAGATGGAGAGCGAGGGGGAGGAATTCCAAGCCAGCGAGGAAGAGGATGACAATGACTCAAGGGATTCCATGAGTCTTTCCAGCGAATCAGAGGATTCCCAGAAGGGGGCGCCGGTGGTCAGGGCCAGGGGAGCCCCAGGGGGGAAGTGTCAGGAGCAGGGTGCCAGCGGAGGATCCCAAAGTGGCAGCTGGGCGTCAGGACCAGCCTCCCCACCAAAGTGCAGTGAGGGGGTGGAGTTTCCAGTGTGTCAGAGGAAGCAGCTCCAGCAGCAGAGAAAGGAGGGGGGTCAGAGCAAGCCGCCCTCCCGGAAGGGGAGGGGAGCAGTGAAGGGAGTAGTGTAACTGTCAAAAGGAAAGTTAGAGGTTTGGCGCGCGCGCCTAGTTCAAATGTAGAGGCGCGCGGAAATGCAGGGAGTCCGGAGGAGGGGCCAGGTCCCAAAGCCCGCAGGAGGGGGGAAGAGCAGTCTGGGGATTCAGCGTCAGAGGAATCCAGAAGGGGCGCAACCCCAGGGGGCAGAAGGACCCTGCGGAAAGGAAGGAGAGAAAGAGGTGGAGCAGCGCAAGTCTCTTAAATTGGTGCAGAGGAGGAACTGACTCAGAAGGGGACTTCGGCGGTCTAGCGTAAGAGACGTAAGGCTGCGCGCCTAGGATGTCAAGCAACCATGAACTGCAATAAACACCTTTGTATACAAGAAGACGTAGGCGTTGGTCTTTTGTGAGCTAAGACTTGAGGCAGCCTTGACAGGTTCTAACAATTCTGTTTCTAATTTTGATTTTTCCACCTGGAAGCCAATTTTCCTGTCTAATTTAAATGTTATCTTACTACACTAGGGATTATAAAGCTATATCTGAAATTTCATGTATATCAGTTAATATCTCTTTTTTTAAAAAAAAATAATACTTTATTTACAACATATGTTAGGATATTTCCGTTCCACCTTAAAAAGGGAGCAGGTTGTTGTGTCACAGCCTGCGTATTTCCTGTTCACAGGAAGTTTATGTTTTGTACATAGCTTTTGTCTCTCTCTGCGCCTGAACATCGAAGCAGGCAGTCATGTTTTTTTTCTTTGTTCTGATCAACGCTGAATAAAGTTGTAAATCATGCTCTCCTGAGTGCATCTTTCACTGTGCGAACTCTGCTGAAAGAGCGTGCACCAGCCTTGGAATGTGGCATGTTATTTCTGAGGCTCGTGTCGCTAATTGACTGATACTGTATCTACGAGAGATCGATGGATCGTCCGGAATCGGCGTGGAGGCATGATGGCCTTTGTCTCCCTGGCAGTATCCCAACAACAGGTTTCGGGCCCAGATTCACGGCACTTACAGGAGAGTAAGACTGCGACAGACTGCTGTGAGGTATGTGGGGAAAAGCGAAAGTAAGGCTTTTCTGTTGCCGCGGCAGAGAGACTTTGATGTCCGGCTGGCTAATTAGCCTGGGAGTCCAGCCAAGCAGGCTTCGTGATTTATGAACAGGCACAATTATGAGACTTGGGCAAGTTGCTGTGAGAGTCTACTACGACAGTTTGGAGTGTGGCATACTGTGTGTGAAGCCCCTCCAGTTCCTCTGACAGATAGATGGAAGGCCCAAGATTCAAGGGCCATAGACGTAATAGTCTATGGAGCAATGGATCCAAACTACAAGAAAGAAGATTCCACCTAAACATTAGGAAGAACTTCCTGACAGTAAGAGCTGTTCGACAGTGGAATTTGCTGCCAAGGAGTGTGGTGGAGTCTCCTTCTTTGGAGGTCTTTAAGCAGAGGCTTGACAACCATATGTCAGGAGTGCTCTGATGGTGTTTCCTGCTTGGCAGGGGGTTGGACTCGATGGCCCTTGTGGTCTCTTCCAACTCTATGATTCTATGATTCTAGTCTTATCCGTCTCTCTGGAGGATATATCAACACTGGCTGGCAACACCACAGCACGTCAGATGTGGAATGCTTTGAAAGTAGCCCATCTGCCGGTCATCCCAGCCCAGAGTTTGACTGCGTTGGAGGTCCTGGCTGTTTCCCAGATCGAGAGTGATTGCAGGGATGCAGAGGGCACCGGTTGCAAGCTGCAGGGGGAGCTGACTGTGATGTCATTCCAGGCAGCATTCCAGCCTCCAGGGGGAGCCAAGGAGTCAGCAGCTGAGAGCTCTGATTCCCATGAGAGCCAAGGTCATCTTTTTTTAAAAAAATAATCTTTATTGCTTTTAAAACTTACAAGAAAAAAAAAGGAAGAAAATAGGCAAAAGAAAAAGACAAAATAGAACAGAGGGGAAAAAAGAGAGAGAGAAAAGAAAAAACAATACAATAGACAATACAAAACACAACCTTAACACATTAACCTAAACAAAGCAAAAGAACAACAATTTAAAAACATATACCATACCATTTCATTACTCTATCTTTCATTCCCTTATTTCATTGACCTCCTCTCACCTCCCTTTTTGTATTCCACTTCTATTACTTGTTTCAGCAATCCCTTTCCATCTTTCTCTATTTTTATCATTATGAATATCTTAACATATTTTGTACCTTATTTTCCATTAATACTGAAATACTTAATTATACCTAACTCCTTGTAACATTTCTACTAAAGCCATAAAATTTCATTCCAACAATTTTCTAACGCTCATTAAATTTATAATATTTCTATATATAAACTTTAAACTTTCCCAATCTTCTACCTGGTCTCGGATTCTGCCAGTCATTTCCGTCCATTCCATATAGTTCATCAACCTGGAGATCTTCTGTCCGAGGCTCTTAAATCTTTTCCAAGTCCCTTCTGCAGTTTTTCTTCATATTCTTTGATAGGGAGGGTGCTGAAGCTCAGGTCTTGGGGGGGGGGGGCGATCCAACCATGCCCCCATTCCCTCTCGACAGACCAACCAACTCTCCACAGCTAAAACCAGTGTCCATACAATGTCTCAAATCATGTTTCAAGGCTCCTCCAGATCCAAAGGCCCCCACAAATCTCTGCATGAAAGAGTCTATCCAACCTTCCTTCTTCAATCCAAGCAGGGCTCCAATCTTCAAATTCTGACTTTTTCTATATTCATTCATAAAAGGCCTCCACTTACAGTCCTCAGTTTGCCTCTGTAAAACTGGGGCTTCCACTTGTATTATTTTAGGTTTAACAACACCAACATTTTCCTTCGTCTTCTCCCCAGTTTGTCCTGTCAAGGTAGGTTCCTGTGTCAAATCCTGAACAATTTCTGTATTAATGGTCAGTTTTTGTTCCAAATTAGTCACTTTTTGTCCCAAGTTCTCAAGCTTGGTATTCATAGCATCCGTCTTCTTGTGGAGCTGTTCCAACGAATAGCTTATCTTACATAATACAGTCACTAAAGCTCCTTCTGTCAACATTCTTAAAGTCCAAGGTCAATCTCTATTTCACACAGTTCTTATCTTGCGACTGGAAAAACCCCAGCTCCACTCTTGTAACAGTTTCAAAAGCTCCCTCTAGAGGGAAACAGTCTCCACTTGTACAGTGGTACCTCACAAGATGAATGCCTCGCAAGACGGAAAACTCGCAAAACGAAAGGGTTTTTGGTTTTTTGAGTTGCTTCGCAAGACGATTTTCCCTATGGGCTTGCTTCGCAAGACGGAAACGCCTTGCAAGTTTGTTTCCTTTTTCTTAAAACCGTTAATACAGTTGCGACTTGACTTCGAGGAGCAACTCATAGCACGTGGTGTGGTAGCCTTTTTTGAGGTTTTTGAAGACTTTGGTGATTTTTGAAGCTTTTCCAAAACTTTTCCGACACTGTGCTTCGCAAGACGAAAAAAACCGCAAGACGAAAAAACTCGTGGAACGAATTAATTTCGTCTTGCGAGGCACCACTGTATCAATCCTTTCAAACACAATTTAAACTATAAAGTTAGTTTCTTTTCCCACTTTTTAAACGCAGATGAGTACAATGGAAACAATATATTTCTCTTATTGCTAGCTGTCAAAAAACGTCACTCTTTCTGGCAGCCCGTTTCCAGGTTCGGAGCAGTGGTAATTTGGTTTTTCACTCTCTCCTGCAGGCTCACTAGGTCCAAAATTTCCCCCCTCTTCTCCTGCTTCCAAGGGGGGTTTAATAGTTTTAACCGATGGAGATTTAATCCTTTACAAAAATAAACTTTCCAAGGCTTTAACTTGCAAGTTTTTGCTTCAATCTGTTTAAAAAAAAGGAAGGCGGACTTCCTGTTTAGAACCTTCCCGTTTCGATGCCAAATTAATGAATTTAAGGATCTAATTTTCCGTTCTACTCATGGGTAGTTGTTTAAAATCCAATTGTCCACAGGAAAAAGTCAGCGCTCTCCGGCAACAGCGATGCGGCTTCACTCCGTGAAAGTAGCAGTCAATTCGAAGCACTGCGCCACTCACCCCACTTCGCTCCGGATCCCCAAATCAGGGTTTCCCCGTGAGTAGGGGAGGCGCAAAGGGTGCCAGCCGAATCCCAAGTTCACAGGCTTCTCCCGCCTGTGATTTCAGTGGGTCTCCACCTTCGCCGTGGCGGTCAGACCCTCATTTCCGCGAAGCAAATTCCTCCCGATCGGAGGAACTCTGCCATTGCCTGGAGGCGCCAACCCGGAAGTCGAGAGCCAAGGTCATCTTTGCAGAGGCCGGAAGGCCAGAAGTAAACAGAGACAGAAGCCAGCAGATGGCCAGAAGCAGAAGGGGGGTGGAAAGCCCACACCAGGGAAAAACAAGGCTTTGTTTGCTGGCACTGCTTCTCCAAAAGCCAAAGGCAAGTTTGATGGCCAGGAGCAGGGGGGCAAGCTGCAAAAGCCCACGCCGGTGGAAAACAAGGTTCTGTTAGCTGGCACTGCTGCTCCAAAGGCCAAAGCCAGATTTATTGTTGACTCTGGAGCTACCCGCCATCTATCAAAGGATCGGCACCTTTTTATCTCCTTCACACCTCAAGATGGAGAGATCCACCAGGCTGATGGAAAGACGTTGCGAATTGCAGGAGTTGGGACTGTGAGACTGGCAAGTCTGCACACTACCATCAGAGATGTACTTTATGTTCCAGATTCAGCAGACAATTTGCTCAGTGTCCCACAGCTGACTGGGCGTGGCTTTGGGATTTCCTTCAAGAGGAGCGTCTGTGTCATCAGGAAAGCCAAAGAGGACATTTTGCATGCAAAGTTTATGGATGGTTATTCTGTATAACTTATGATGACGATGGTGCTGCTGTGTCTAATGTTGATTCTTGTTGTGTTGCACAAACTAACAAAGTTCTTCATGCAGGATGTATTCACGAGGCGCACAGAAGATTTGGTCACATGTCTTGGCAGGCGCTGGCCAAGATGCCTGGATTGGTTCAGGGTTTGAACATCAAGCCCTGTAAGTTTCACATGAAATGTGTATCTTGTGCAGAGAACAAGGTGAAGGTTGCTCCAAAAGGCAAGGAGTCTAGCAGGCAGGCTTCCAAACCCTACCAGCTAGTCCACGCAGCCCTGGTTGGTCCACTTGCGCCCTCTGTGGGTGGAGCAAGGTACTTCATGTTTCTAATTGATTCTTTTTCCAGGTACATTCATGTGTTTATGCTCCAGCAGAAATCGGAAGCATTTCCTAGGTTCAAGGCATTCTGTGCTTGGTTGGAGAATGTTCACAGTAAACACATTGGCTGTTTGTTTACTAATCGAGAGGCTGAATTCACTTCTCGGCAGTTTGAAGCTTTCCTGACTGAGAAGGGAATTCAGCATAGCCTCTCAAGTC